ATAAAGTTCGAATTGCTGATTCCACTACAGATTTGTCAATGTCTTTGATGTTTTATTATAGTAGGCTGGCAAACAAAGTACTGACTTTAAACTCTGTTTTATTTCTTCTCTACTTCCTTTGCTAACTAAGGTAGTAGTTCTTCACTGTGGACTTGACAAATGGAAGAGGTAGAAGGCAATTTAAACAGATGCAAAATCCTTTCCAAAATCACTTGGCAAATGTTCATATTCTAAAATCTCATGCAAACTTTCCAGAAGTGGAAATACTTATTGTCATGGATTGAATTGAATCTCCCTAAAATATGTGTCAGCTTGGATGGATCATAATTCTCCATGGTTTGGCATTTATGACCTGATGTGACAAACCAATAAGGAGATTAAGGGTGGAATGTCATTGCTGTCAAGGGCCATCTGGTTGGTTCTGACTCACAGTGACCCTGCATAGGGTTTCCAAGGAGCAGGTGGTTGGTTGAACCCCTGACATTGCAGACAGTAGTCCAGTGCTGATCCTACAGTGTCATACCAGGACTCCAAGGGTGGGATGCACCATCCTTAATCCCATCAGATCCTGATCTGATGTATGGAAGAATCCCAAGGGATTCCCAACACAACAACCTTTTATCTTATGAGAGAAGAGAGGAGGGAGATTTGATTAGAGAAAGGGGGACCTGCTACCACCCAGACAGAAGAGTCAGGAGAGAAGGACATCCTTTGGAAATGTGTTCCCTGCACTGTGAAGCACCTAGATCCAGGGAGCAATTGATGTTAATACACACAGCAATCTTCAAGGAATGCTGGACCTACCTATACATATAGAAGGGAGACCTGGGACTCTCCCAGAGCCAGCACTCTGAATTCAAACTTTTAACCTCCTAAACTGTGAAAGAATTAATTTCTACTTGTTGAAGTCATCTATTTAAGGTATTTCTGTTATAGTAGCACTAGAGAACTGAGACACTTTCCCTTGATGAACTATACATACACAAACACGTACTCATACAGGCATACCAAACCCAAAACCAAACCCACTGCCATCAAGTCAATTCCAACTCACAGCAACCCTAGATAGGATTTTGAGACAGTAAATCTTTATGAGAACAGACACGCTCATCTTTCTCTAGAGGAGTAGCTAGTGGTTTGAACCACCAACATTGTGTTTAACACCCCAATGCCTATCCCAAAGTGCCACCTGGGCTCCAACACAGATACCTATAACCTTCAATATTTAACAACAATGATTCTATGTCTTCCCTGTATCCTCCCTATTTATAAGAACCTTATTATTCAAGACCAAGCACAGATGTTTTTTGTTCTATGAAATCTTCTCTGATCAAGCAGAAGTTGTTTCTTCTTTTAAATGCCTATGAATCATTCTTATTTAACTCTTAGCATATACTCTGTCTTTTAGTTATCTTTCCATGAGTACTTGATGATAAGCCCACACAAGGGAGGGTCACATCTATATTATTTGCTCTCCATAGAGTCTAGTACTATGTGGCAAAATAGAGGTTTTTCTGATAATTATTACCATGATAGAACACTAGTATGTTGGATGGTAAATCACTACCATGTTAGGTTAAAAATGAATTCGAATGAGAGTACTTATGTTATTGTTGTTACATGCTGTTGAGTTGGTTCCAACTCATAGTGACCTCTATAAGGTTTCCAAGGAATGATTGGTGACTTTGAACCACCGACCTTGTGATTCAAACTGACCTTGTGGTTGAGTGTCTATCATGCAGCACCACACTAGCACCCCACTTATATCATAGAAACCAGTAAACAGTATAAATCAGAGCTTTCTATACTTATGTATGTATTTCTGTCTGTCTGTCTGTATTTATTTATGAGCCAGTTTACCAGCTGAGTTTTTGGTATGCTCGCATTCCCCCGCAGACCTTCTATTACAATAGGTGAAAATGTCCGGCAAGTCATGAAGGACTTTTATTCTCTCTTAAAAGAGTTAATTTGGAATCAAATACAGGAAACGGCACACACACATGCACACACACACACACACACACACAATCTACAGACAAATATGTGGCATGCTCTATCCAAATTGGTTTTGGACATTTTCAAGTTATGGGAAAGGAGTTTCCTAGGATTCATAGGGTTCACTTAAAATCTAAATTAGCATTTTAAAAAAGCAATTTCATCAGAACATCTTAGTATTGCAAAATATTAGTAGTTGTCTCCAGGGGAACATTTAAAAAAACAACTGTTTGAAAAAGAACGGTCTTCAAATATTCTTCAACTATGTTGTTAAATGTCCCATTAAATCGTATACAGAATAAGAAAGCTAAGTCTCGACCTCTACTTCATATTAATTCTGTGCAAGTTTTGTGAAGCTACTTAAGGGGCATCATAAAGAATAATACTTTTTTTTGTACCTTCTTCTTTTCAATTATTATTATTTTAATGTAATTAAAGTTGAGAATCACCATCTGATATAGAGTAGCTCTGAAAATGCTGGAAACTATGTGAACCAGAATATTCCAACATCAACTACTTAGGACATTTTATCTACATTGGCATTGAAAAACAATAAAACCCAAGACTTTGATCTGCCCAAAGGCGAGGCACTTCATTCTCTTCTTGCGTGTTCAAGAGAAGTAGACTAAAAAGTCTGGCAACCTAGCAAGACCAAAGCTAGGAAGTCAAAACTAAATAGTTAAGAATGAAGTTTTCCCTTTTTAAAACATTAGCTAAGAAATGAGTATGTCCTAGACATTTACCAGCAAGATGTGAGGCTGTGCTTAAAAAGGGTCATTTGGCCTATTATCTACTTTAGTTCAAGGAGATAATTCAAATGGAAGGATAGGCAGCATTCTTACCATAAAAAATAGAAACATACAAACAGGCACACACTTAAATCAATTTCTTAGAAGGAAAAAATATTTTAAAAGATAAATGGTATTTTGGATTCGATAAAAACTTTTGAGATATTTGAGAAGTGGGAGTTACTAACCAGCAGTATTTTTATTTTCTTCTCCTGGCATTTGCCACTATCACCCGCCTGCTCCCATTGGATATAAAAATTGTGATGACAAGGAAAGTGTATGATCTCATAATTTATATAATGTCATCACTGTGTTGTAAAGAAGCAAATGGCTGATCAAATAACTGAATGAAAAAAAAAATGATGAATTTGAATAATCTGAGAAAGATAATGGAGAGAGACCATTTCCAGAATGAGTTTATTTTTGTTCATACTTCTTGTTGTTAAGTGCTGCCAAGTCAATTCTGACTCATAATGAGCAGCTGGTGGATTTGAACTGCCAACCTTGCAGTTCAAACCAACCTTGTGGTTGAGTGCTTATTCTATAGTGCCATACCAGGGCTCCTCAAAATTTGATTTAGAATTTGTTATGGATTAAATTATGTCCTCTAAAAGGGTATGTGGAAGTCCCAAGCCCTGGTACCTATGAATGTGACCTTATTTGGAAATACCAGTAGGGTCTTTGAAAAAGTTAACATGAGGACATATGAGGGGGTCTTCAAAAAGTTAATAGAAAATGAAACGAAAAGACATGAGTGCTAGTTCACTCTGAGTGACTTATGAAATACAAAAGACATAGAGACACATAAAAGATGGTCATGTGACCATTTGACTTCTACTGCAGGGATAAACAAGGAATACCTGGAACTACCAGAAGGTGAGGGACATGAACGGATTCTCCGCTCAGAGCATTCAAAGAGAACCTGTCCTGTGGAATACAGGACTACTAGCCTCCAGAACTATGAGACAATAGCTAATTTAAAGCTATACATTTTGTAGTGTCTTGTTAGGGCAGCCCTAGGAAACTAAGACAGACTTAAAATAGCCCTATGAGAAAGTTCTATTATAAAAACAACATAGTCAATGGAAAGCCCATCCTTCTTAAAGTTTCTCCCCAAGAACTGGGTAAGAGAAACCACAGGCACTGACAATTCTACAGACATTAGATGCCTTTCTTATGCCACCATCTTTAACTTTCTCCTGGCTCATTCTTCATTTTAGAATTCAGTTTGAAATCACCTCAGTGTTTTTTAAACATCCTCACGGCTTTTCTAAACCATCTTCAAGAATATTATGACTTCAGTTTCACAGATACAAACAAAATGATTCCTGGGAGGTCCAAAGTTCATTTGTTTGAGCCTCATATGAACAAAAACACCGTCATGTGTTGAAGAAATACAGAGGAGCTGGTATCCACAGCCTCACTGTACCCTGGAGGCTGAAGGCAACGCTTCCTCCCACTGAACACTTCTGCCCAGAAAAGAAAGATTGCTTATGTTTAGGGAAGGAGTTAGGAGTGGGGTGGAAGATAGCGAGAATATTACAGACAACATTTCCTAGCCTGTTTTATTTTTTAAAACATGTCTTCCTCTCATGAAGGCAGGCATTCTTTCTGCTCTTAAGTCTCCTTATTAGGTGCTAGTTCCACACTACACAGCATGTTGTGCACTAACATAATTAAAATGTTAAAGTTTGCAAAACACTTTCTTTGCATACGCTGTTCTCTACATTGGCAAGAAAAGCCATGAATACGGTGCTGTCAAGGTTATTAAGTAAAGTTGCAAAAGGATTAGATTGCACACCATATGGGCAGAAGGAAATTTGCCTTAAAATTACAGTTCAGTTTTCTGGCACCTCCTCAAACTCTCTCCCATACCTAGCAACTACAATTTCCATTAGAGAATCACTGCTTTTGAAAAGTGAATAACAGATGTTAAAAAAATATCCTTCCCACCATACTGCTGGGATTCTCTCTACAATTTATGTTTAGAATGTTTTTATCATAGCTTTATTTTTATCAGTTTGTTTCTTTTACTTTGTCTAAAAGATTATCCTGACTTCTTAGGACACAAAAAAATGGGTTTGGTGTGCAAATAATTAATTGTCCAGTGTCCTTAACAGTGAGAGATATCAGTGGGCCATTTGGGACTTAATTTCTGGTCAACATATTAATTCATCAACATTTCATAAGTTATAAAAAGAATAGCAATTCTCTTACTTTGGAAGTTTTTCCAGCACAGTCTTCAGTTCTTCACATATGAGCTTCACAAGACCATTCTTTATATTACTATATGAAACATCAATCATGAAGATAAAGGCTGGTGGGTTGGGAGGTTTGTTTTTCTATAGGAAAGCCAAAAAATATATAATTAAATATAATTAGAAATGACATACATTTAATAATCAAATTAAAACACTCATGAGAAACTCTCAGAAGTCAACAGATGGTTCATTTGATATTTTGGATATAACGTCTATGGCGTTAAATCACTACAGTCTCTGATGCTATAAAAATGATAAAAGAAGCTGATTACTTTTCAGAGTAAGATCTGGGTCCTACTATTGAATTAGCTTCACTTTTATAAAGCTCCAAAGACTTTATTACTGCAACTGTCCAACAAGTACAGTATTGTAGCCAACCATATTTATAACACTGTGTCTCAAAGGCTGGCAAACTGTTCCAGATAAGGGTATACACAATAATTAGTTTTTGAAATTATAATAAAACTTTATAATTTGCATGTAGTATTTTCAAATCTCTTCTCTTACATAAACACTCTCAGTTTTAAAGAAGAAATTATACACCAAAATGTACTTGTATACTTTTCTAAGATTGTACCACATTGTTACAGACTTACCTAATTTCTCACATATTTATGGTAAAACAGAATGTTAGGTCTTTTCTCTATTTGTATAAAACAATCATTATAACAGAGAGCAGCTGCCACGAAAATGATTTGTAGCTGTGTGTCCCCTCACTGGCTGATGTTCAAATAACTCTTAGGATGGGATTCTTCAGTTTGGGTCTAACAAAATATTTAGAAAGGAGAGCCACAAACAATTTTTTGTGTGTGACTCACAAAGAGACTAAGAATGAAAACTAATTTAATTTCTAACTTTGTGATAACAAAAGATTTTATAATAAAATATTTTAATATAATTCTAAAATAATGGCAGAGTACCTAAATTATCTTATTGATCCATTCTTCATCTGTTACAAGGGTAGATACAACATTCTTCTAATAAAAGTCATTTTTTTTGAAAATTTCAAACATGTTGTTGTTAAGTGTTGTTGAGTCAGTTCCAACTCATAGTGACCCTGTCCAAGGAGTGGCTGGTGAATTTGAACCACCAACCTTATGGTTAGCTGTCCAGTGCTTATCCTACAGCACCATGCCAGGACAAAATTGAAAAAATATTAACAACTTCGAAATTTCATCACTTTGCCACATTTACCAAAAACAGATGGACAAAGAAATGAAAATACTGTTGTCTGTGTCATTAATTATTACTGAAAATCATTTCTGATTTCCATGTTGTTGTTGTTGTTAAGTTCCATCGAGTCAGTTTGGACCCATTGTGACCCTGGTATAGGGTTTCTGAGAAGCAGCTGGTGAGCTTGCACTGCCAACCCTGAGGTTCAAACCAACTTTGCAGTCCAGCCCATTAACCTGCACCACACCAGGACTCCCATACCTAATCTAATTCATAACATAAGCCTATTTCAATTGGTAACACTCAATAAAAATACTAAACATCTTGTCATTTTTGTGTTCTCTCCTAAATTCTGTTTTACCAATTCCTCACTACATATTTTCCATATCTCCAACCTATACATTTCTACGGGAATGCATAACTTACTTTCTATATATGCATATAAAAATGAATACACTATTCCTCTGTTGCACATTCTCTTCCAACTTCTTTGTCTCTATCAATAAAACCACTAGGCACCAAGTCAAAGGCTAGAACTACAGAATTAGAACTGTTTCTTCCTTTTCAGGCATGGAGTTTTCTTTCAGAATACTTCTTTATAATATTTTACCCCATCCTTACACTTAACCTGGGAGCCTGGCATCTTGTGCCTTGAAGAACTGCAATGGCTTCATCCCTGGCTTCCTTAATCCATCACATTACCTATTCACTTCGGTTAACTTCATCCAAGCTTAGTCTCCTTATGTTTCCAGGCCACGCTATAGAAACTGTAGCATAATGATTTCGAGTCGGGCTGCTAACCTCAAGGTCAGCAGTTCAAAACTACCAGCCGTTCCATGGGAGAAAGATGAGGCTTTCTGCTCCCATAAAGATTTACAGTCTTGGAAACGTTATGCAGGGTCGCTATGAGTTGGAACCGACTCCATGGCACACCACCACCTCCGACTTACTAATTTATAGTGACTTGAAATAAAATCCACTGTTATTCTAAATCTCTTTGCAACTTGAGGCAGGCTCGCCAATCTCACTGTCTTAGCTCCTATGTAGAGTGGCATCATCTCCTCTCCCATTTTTCTGACTTCTGCTTTTGTTATTGTTTGTCTCATCTTCTTTCCAAAGGATGTATTCTTCCCTCCTTACATCATATTCTCCACCATGGGATTTTCATCCATTCATTCAGTTTTAACTAGCACTTCTATGCAGCCAACCAGTCTGTTGCCAGTGAATCGATTCTGACTCATGGCGACCTCATGTGCTTCACAGTACAGCTGTGCCCTGCAGGGTTGTCATGGCTGTGGACTTCCAGAAGTAGACCTCCAGACTTTTCTTTGAAGGTGGATTTGAATTGTTAATATTTCAGTTAGTAGTAGAACTCTTAACTATTTGAGCCACCCAGAGAATCACAGCATCTCTGTATTTGTTGTTGTTGTTGTTA